ACTTCCATTGCCTTCACTCAGAGCATCATTTCTTCTCAAAATGATGTTACATGAGAATGGGAGTGTTCTTCTTTATTTATTCTACCGTATCAATGTAGAGACAACCTGTACACAATGTAACTTGTACACAACCAGACGTGTACATGTTTACAAAACTTACCTTCGCCTGGTTTGTTTACATAACTCTGCCCCCTGTCCTCTCTCATGCACTCATTCTTCTCTCTGGTATGGTAGCCTGCTGACTACCATACATACACACTTGATTTTTTACAATAAATATATCATCTCCCATATTTTAAGGTAAGTAATGAGTAATGTTTATACTTTTTTTTTTATCGCTCTGGGATGCTTAAATATCATAGAATAGTATGTGTGGGGGGGTTGCCTGGTATGGTAGCCTGGCTGACTACCATACATACCACACTTGATATTTTACAATAAAATACTACTCATCTCGCCCTATTTTTTAAGGTAAGTAATGAGTGAACTGTATATACATTTTATCGCTCTGGGATGCTTAAATATCATAGAAAGTATGTGTGGGTGGGGTGGCCTGGTATGGTAGCCTGGCTGACTACCATACATACCACACTTGATTTCTTACAATAAATACTACTTGTCTCACCCTAGATTAAGACTATAAATATTTTAAGGTAAGTAATGAGTGCACTGTGTGTGTATTGTACTTTTTTATTGTTTTTTGATGCCTGGTTCTATTGCTAACATAATATATGTTAGTGTAAACTTGTTATCTAGTGTTTGTATGCATTTGTAAGTGGAAAAAAAAGGTGTTCCACTTTACGGCGGTTTCCGCTTTACGGCGGTAGCCTGGAACCTAACCCGCCATGTAAGTGGGGCCCTCCTGTATATACTTCAGCATGTCTAAAACATTGCTGAGACCTATAAATACTTTCTATATGTTTCTAGATACTGTAATTGTAAATGACCAAGGCAGGTGCAAGTGCTCACCTGTCAGTGTATTTGTGACTATTTGAGTATTATTTCAGTACTTAACCCTTTCAGGGTCCAAGGCCAAAATCTGAAGTCACACACAAGTGTCCAAGAAATTTTGAAAAAAAAAAAAAAAAAAAAAAAAAAAATTCTTACAGAATTAAAGAGCATATTTTTGTGAAGGTAAAAAACAAAAAAAAATAGAATCTGATCATTACTTACTGAGATACAGTGCCAAGAAGTTTATAGAAAATGATGTGGTGGCGGCAACATCGACGAATTCCACATACGCGTATTATATTATTTTGTTGTTTATTTTGTTTTTTCTTTTTTTTCCAATTTTTTTCTATTCCTACTAACATTTGGGGCCTGAGAGACCAATAGTGTATATAATTGATATATATATATACTCACTGTATTGAACACAATAACCGCACTAAAGTTATCATATTATTGTTTACCACTGTTGTTTTTTTACAATAAACATGCACAAATATTGATAATACTAATGTTCTATCATATATTTACATATTTACAATCACTGGACATGGTTTTAGAACTGCTGGAGCTTGGGAACTCCTTGAAACAAGGCACCATGCACAGAGGCACCTTACATTCCTCACACATAAACGAGTGTCTTTGCGTCTTTGTTGCCGTCGTTTTGTTTGTGCACAGACAATGCATCTCTTCTGAGCAAATTTCTTTTGAGTTGAAGGAAGCTGTATTATGAAATGATCACCTTCTCTCCTCAAACGCTGGGTATACTGTGATGAATTCGAGGACCATGTTGTATTGCAGGTGTTGTTACCTGGTATTTCATTATGAGTTGTCTGACAACAGACAAACAAAATTCACCATACGGTGGTCTGTTACCAGTCTTTATTTGGTACATATTATATGCATTTTGCATTGAAATGTCCATGAGATGGAAGAAAAGTTTCATGTACCACTTGTAACTCTTACGAACACAGTCAAAAAAACCCAAATCTGCATGTCACACTTGTCAACCAAGCGCATGTTTTATGTATAATCAATCATGACACGGGTTTTCGAATACGTTCATTAGTCACTCGATCAATTTGCCACTGTCTTGATTTCATTAGGGTGAATGGTTGTCAACAATATGACATCTCTTTTGTCATGCCACCGTAATCCCATGATGTCATTGGCAGTAAACCCCTGCACGTCATCACCACGAACACCTGCGTTGAGCCGGGGCATATGTTTACGATTAGAACGCACTGTGCCACACAATCTGCTTGTTCACTCGCATTGAAATCATGGTAAGGGGCCCTTGTGTACCAGTTATCGGTATATATGTATGGCCCTTACCAAGATAAGGTGCCATCATGTTTCTCACTACATCACCTGAGATACCCCAAAAACATCTGGTATCTTTCAATGTTTTACACCCCTGTATACAACAATATCCAACACCAGGCCACTGTCACAATCACAGAGTACAAAAATTTATACCAAAGCGGTTCCTCTTGCTCGGTATATACTGCTTGAATGACAGTCTACCTTTGAACAAAATCAAAGACTCGTCAATTACAAGATTCTTGAATGGTAAAAGTATATCCTGAACTTTGTTTGAGATACATGAAAACATTTTTAATCTTGTATAACCCTGTCACTTCTGTCAGGCCTGGTTTTGTCAGAGAAGGGGCAACATACGTAACAGAAGATAAACCTGTTCACTGGGATTATTTCACTGAAGGATGGGGTACAAATTAGCCGATTGTGGACCAGTAAAGCTTTTATATTATGCTTATAGGGCGTGGGCTAAAGCATTAATTTTTTGCAAAAAGCAAATACATTTCTGCAACAGTCGTCTCTTTCCACCTGTGTAGTCTTTACTGTGGTGATAAGATCGTATTTGCCATGGTGAACTGAAATACTTATTACTTTCCCTGACAATAATTTCCATCAATGGCTGGTCAAGAATAATTCAAAGAATTCCAGTTCATTGGCCCTGGTTCCAAGGGGGCAGGTAGGTGAATTCCACTTCGAGAGTCATCAAAGTGGTGAGGGCTGGGAACAAAAATTTGGGGTTTTGCTGCCAATCCCAGATACGGTTTGCTGGTGGAATACGGACATCATAGGCTGGTTGTACGGGTGGGTTTTGGCGGGCTGGTGGTGACGCTCCGCTTTGTCCTTGAACTGACGACGAGTCAGCAGCGTGGGTCCCCGCATGGCACAGTGAGTCACGCATGGCGGTGCCACTACCACCACCAGCCCCATAACACCCATCCACTGATGCCTGTGGCCCCATCCATGCCAAGTGTAGCCACATCATCCTCACTATCACTACCTAAAATGGGTGTTTGGGCCACGGGATGTACTCCGGGATGTACTCCGGGATGTACTCCATCCCCCCTGGCACAGCATAGGGTACACTACCCAAGCGCATGCGGCGGCGAACTACCGCGCCTTCACTGGTGAATATGTTTCCTCACTATCAAATACTCGAATGATCGTCGAGCGCAATAAAATCACAACCACGTCAGAATCATCGTCATTATGAAGTCAGAGGCCTGGCCACGGGAAAATATTAGTTTTCTCTTACGTTTAGGAACACCCCCACCGTGAGTCCCCAAGTGCCACACCAGAGGTAGAAGGTCGAGGATTGTCGGGTTTTCTGCACTATTATCAATATCCTGGTCATTATTTTTGGTCACTAACTTATCAAAGCCGTAGAATTGTCTTCATTTCCACTTCCATCAGTGTCAGAACTATCAGACAGGAAGAGGAGAGTCCCAATTTTCCGGGGAGTGAGAGCTGACTTGCGACGAGGCATGGTGAACAAGGGTGACTGAGCCGGCGTTCCCACAATGCTATGCAGGCGCCTAGATTTTTTGTTTATGGCGCACACCCATGGCGCAGACCCATTCTCTCACATGTAGGCCTATGAGCGCTTTCGTGCTAAATTTGACGGCGCTAGAATTTTGGCGTAGATCTATGGTTTGGACACTCACCGAAAAAAGGTATATCGGCAACACTTCTGTAAGTGGCAGGACTCGATGTTGCCATCAGGTGAGCATCCACCGCCAACTTCATGGTCTTATATCTCAGTAAGTACAGATCTTAAAAATATTTTTTGGGTTTTATTACACATAAAATTGCACTCTTTAACCCTTAAACTGTCCAAACAGATCTACGTTCACATGCGTAGTGCTCCAAAAGTAGATCTATGTTTTTTACATATTTTCAAATATAACAAAAAACAAAAATGTAGATCTAAGTTTGTTTTACACGTTTTCAAATGTAAAAAAAAAAAAAAAGAAATGGAAAGCAAGCATAATATAAGAGGAGCCTGGAGATGTGACTAATGAACAGAGAAAATGTTATTTTTGTGCCAGGAATGTATGCACTGTTTATTCTGGATCCTATTTTGAAATTGGCATCTCTTGAAATTTGTATGAAATTGGCCAAATTACCTATTTCTGACCATTTTACGGGGTAGTTGAAATAGGTAAATGGACAGTTTCTTGTATTCACTTGACTGGAATAATGGAATGGGCCAAAAATAGGGTGTAAAGTGGATGAAATCGCCAATGTGTAAATATCGTTGTTGGGTTAAGTGTATTTTAACCTAGTCACTCTGTAATCTGGCAAAATCTCTAATCCGGCACCCTCCAGGTCCCGATGTTGCTGGATCAGTGATGGTCAACCTGTACAATATCTACATATGGCCACAAGCATATGTGGAGACATTTGAAATTATAATGTAAAACTATATGTAGTATGTATAACTAATTGTTTTTTTTATAAAGTTCACACTATGGCTTTTGAAAGCACTGAAATATGCATCAAGCTTCTAACAATATTCTTAGAATAAAGGTTGTACTAGTACAATATAACAGGTTACAATAAAACCCTGTGGATATCTGGTGCAACTGGTGCAATTTGACTGTGCAATAAGCAAACAAGTATGTTAAGGTCCTCAGAAAATTATCTTGCATGAGAGATTTAAATGTCTAGGGATCATTCAAAACAAACATTATCATTAATAGGGAGGATACAAAAAGATTTTGATAGACAGATAAGTGATAAAGACTAACAGAACCAGTTAACTCACAACAAGTATGGTGGTAATAACACAAGCAGTGGTGTAAGCTCGTGTCACTGGAGGCATCTGCATGTACTCTTGTTGAAATGTAAGGTGAGCCATTTCGACTGTTTTACTTCAACTAACTCTGATGAAAAAAATATCAGCATGTTAGAAGATTGTGAAGTTAAATTACAAGTTATCTTAAGGTTTAAATAATAAGATATTACAAAGACCCCAATGGAAATAAATCACTCTCTCTGGCTTTTTTGGTTTATCCTAGGTAATTTACACATACGGTAATTTATTTCACTGTATTTGTGTACACCTGTACCTGAATAAACTTACTTAGGCTGGCTTGTGGCCTGGTAGGTATAGCTCTCGATTCACACGCTGAGAGTCCGGGTTTGATTAGCGGCTAAGGTGGAAACATTGGGCATGTTTCCTTATTGTTCATGTTCAACCATCAGTAAATGGGTACCTAAGTGTTAGTCAACTGGTGTGGGTCACAGCCTGGGACAAAAATTGATCTGCAAAGTAAAAGGACACCAGTGCAACTAATGTGACATTTTATTGTGGCAAAGTTTCGCTCTCCAGGAGCTTTGTCAAGCTGTTACAAACAGTACACGGACACAGAGGGTATATATAAGCTTCGAGTGAGGTGCAGTGCTAGTAGTAGTAGTAGTAATACAAGTTGTAGTAGTAGTAGTGATACAATATGGTAGAGCAATTAACTTGCACATGAGTAAAAGGATATAAAATCTATTGCTTGGGTAGCATAAAAATAATAGGTTAGACAAAATTTCTGTTGGAGGTTGAATTAACTGCGCTTGTGTTCTTTTACTTTACATATTGTTGGTAATTCTACCAACATATATACAAAAACTGATCTAATTTGCTGAAAATGCTCTGCATAACAAGGGGCTTTTTTGTACAGTAGTATGTCATTGATGTCAGCTAGGTCTGTATACTTTGTACAAGTACTTGTAGAAAATAAAGATACAAAATAAAATAAAAAAGAAAAAGCCTGGGGAACTATAAAAATACTATTTACCTGAAGAAAAAATGACTTGTTTTTTTTGTACAAATGGTAAAAATGACTTAATATATACTGTATGCACAAAATCTTGTTTTAAATGCATTCAATTGAATGGATAAAAAACTAGTCTTCAGTCAACACAATTACCATACTGGCTCTGTTGTAGTACAGTATCTCCAATAAGCTGTATTAAATGTGGAAGTCCTTGAAAGTTTTGACTGCAATGTATACTTCACATGTTGCATGAGGCATTTGTGTCCCTCTATGAAATAAGAATTAAGTAATGATACAGCGACAAATTTTATTTATTAAACTGAGCTAACCCATTATCATTTCATACTAAGCTAACTGGGGCTGTGCCAAAGTATCAATATTGACTAATTTTGTGGGTACTTGTAATATCAGCCTAAAATGGAGTACTGGTATCGGTATTGGCGGCTAATTTGTATGGTATTGGTATCGGTACTTGTACCAGTTGGTATTGCCTGTCTAAAATTGAGTATCGGTATTGAATGAAACCGCAATACTGATATCGGTATGAGTATCTATTAATTCTGGTATCGTCCCATCCCAAGTGCTAACAGATTACCTTGTATTTATATAAGATAAGAACACTAAGTGGTCAGTCAGTAGAGCACTAGCGAAGATCACACGTCAGCTGAATGTCACCATTGCTCTTGCTGTTTCACCATACCAGCATCCCCTGTGGTTTCTCCTCTTCCTCGCGGTGATAAAAAAACCCTTACAGTATAGCAGAAAGCGCTTTTTGGGAGGAGAAGTCCCTTTTTGCTACTTTTAAAGCGGGACTTTTGTTTTACTTCAGGGGCAGGACTTGGTACTGCCCCTTTAAAAAATTTTTGTAACTTCATCTCTTTTTTTTTTTTTTTTCCCAAATTTCCCCCGGAAGGAAAAAATAAATTGTAGAGAAAATTTCTTTAGATGTAAAAATTGGAGAAAATTTTTTCGGCTTATTTTAAAAATAAGTCCCCTATTTTTTAGAGCGGGGGAAATAAAATTGAGTAAATTTTGCCCAAATCGGGATTTAGATTAGTTTTTGCCACCAAAGTGGTTTGTTTTTTAAATGTCCCTCATACCCAACCCTGTGGCGGTAGCGAAAGGGAGCATATAGATACACAAAAGGCCGGGGAACTGGGCCCCCAAAGGGGGTTTAAACATGAATACATAGGGGATTTATATTTTACTTATTACTTTTTTCATTTATCTTTTTTACAAGAAAAATTTGGGAAAAATTTGTTTTACCAAAAATATATCTTTTTTTCATTAAAAAGATATCTTGACATGCACATGGGTTAAGTAAGTAAGTAAGTAATTTTTTGGGTTTATACAAAAATTTCATTTACGTAGAATTACTTTAAATAGCGGGCATATGTGTAGAGAACCTAGGATAACCCAAAAAAGCCCAAAACACAGTGACTTTTTTCCTTTGGGGGCCCTTTTTTCCTTATTATTATAAAAAAGGGTTTTAAAAAATATTTTTTTTATTTTTTCTAAAATTTAAGATAAATTTATTATCATACAAAAAAAACTATCTACTCCCACGAGGGTCATTAAGACTATTTTTACAATACGAGGGCATTACTAGGAATAAGGTAAAATTTACACGTATGTTACCCAAAAAAAATAGAAAATCTTTCCCCTCCCTTTCTGTGGCAAAAAATTTTCACCCCAGACACCTTTTGGGCCCACTCTTCTTGAATGGTTCATCCCATGACTGGCTTTGACATGGGGCGGGTAGTCGGGTTCCTTTCCCTTTTATTGCTGTACAAAAAAAGGTAGGGGAAAAATTTTTCTAGGGTCTTACTTTTATGTACCTAAAACCTTTAAATATACTTTAACGAGTAATCTCTTGGAGAAAACCCTTTATTGTTTCCCATAGTCACCCCGTGTAGCATGGGAAAAAACTTAACCACCTCTGGTCACTACAGGGGGCCCCCTTCGACCTCACAATCTTATCCATATTTTTCCCAAAGGACCATTTGGGAAATTGGATGCACCCACAAGAAAGGTGCTACTAATTAATTGTGGACTGATTATTATTTATTTTTTAGCAAATTTAAGGGGGGGGGTGGGATACACAGGGAAATACTCCATAAAAAAAAAAACATTTGTACATTTTCCCCAAAACTTACCAGCTGTTCTCGGTGGCATTTAAATGTACTGGATCACTCATAACCAACCCAATTACAACATAAAATAACTGGCCGGGCATGGGTCTTTTTTATAACTAAAAAGGGGTTATTTAAACTGTGGGTGATTGATACTCCAAAATTTCCTCCATTCACCATCTCATTTCGATGTCCTGCTACACCGACACGGTTCTAAATTCCGGCAGGAGAGGTTCCGTCGGTTTGCCCCGGTTTAGAAGTCGTGTTTCCATAAATCTCCATTACCCCCGGTACGAGAGTCACACGTTCACTCAGAGCAGGGCGCTTATTTCACTTTCCGCATTCTCTTAACCAATGTTATTATCACTGTTAAACTTTACCATTCACAAGACGTTTTAAACGGTCTCAAAAAACTATTATACAAATTAGAGGTACTCCAAATTAAAATCTGACCCGATGAGCGGGGTTTTAAACCCACAGGGGTAGGGCCCCCTGGACACAAAACCCGGGCCCGTCCCACCTGCCCCCCGGGTCAAAATTTATTCCAAATTTTTACCCCCCCTTTACAGTGGTCCCGTAAATCACTTTTCCCTTTCCCCCTTTCACAAAGGGACAGCCCAGACACTTCCTATTATGAAATGGGGCCATATTAACCCTTTTAAGGCCGCCATGAATCCCAAATTTTTTTTCCGGGGTTTTCCATGCTTTCCCAGCTTCCTCACCACTTTCAAAAAAAACCCGCCCCCCCCCATGGCCCGCGTCGCTCTCCCCCCCGCACATCCGCCATGCGAAAAGGGAACTTTTGGTTCTACTCAAATTTTTAAAATTTACATTTTTAAACCCATATAGCCACATTAAACACCAAATAGGCACTTTGTTTGGGAAAATTAAAATATTTTCCACACTGTGGCCGGGCGGAGGGCCCCCCCCATTTGCTAGCGACTTAAAATAATGTGGAGTAAAATTTTTCCCCATCTTCACTGGCCCCCTGGTTGGGAACCCCAACTTTGATATTTACATAATCCCCCTTTTAATTCTTTCCACCTGTTAACTCCTCAGGTAGGGCTCCACCCAAAAGCACCCCAAACCCTTTCCATGCTTCGGGTTTTAAAAAAAATTTTCCCCTCTTATTGAAGGTACAAACTAAGTCAAAGCTCTCGGGGCTAATTTTTTGGGGCATACGGGAATTATGAGACTTTAAAATTTAAAAATCTCTCTCTTATCCCAAGTCGGGCCCCGCACATTACTGCATTTAGGCACCAACTCCAGGGCCATCCAATTTTTGAACCCTCAAAATGGACAAATTTTGTGTTCCTTCTTCAGGGGCATAAGCTTTATGCTCCCGGGTTAATTTTTTTGGGGGCAACTGGAATTATGAGACTTTAACCAATAACAAGTCTCTCTCAGTATCCCAAGTCACCCCAGAAACATTACTGCATATAGGCCCCAACTCCAGGGCCCATCCTTATTTATTAAACCCCTCAAAAGGCCCAAATTTAAAATTTCCCCATTCTTCAGGGGCAAAGCCTTTTGCCCCCGGTTTTAATTTTTATTGGGGAAATTACGGAAAATTATGAAAATTTTAACAAAAACAAGTCTCTCTCATATCCCAAGCCCACCCCCACACATTACTGATATGGGCACCAACTCCATGGCCATCCATATTTTTTTGAACCCTCAAAATGGACTAATTATGTTCCATTCTTCGGGGGCATAACCCTATGCTCCCTGGATTAAGTTTTGGGGCAACTGGAATTTTGAGACTTTAACAATAAAAAATGCCCCTCATACCCCAAGCAGCCCCAGCCCCCTTACGGGCATTTTTTCTTTTAACCCCTTCACATATCCCCCCTTTTAGTTCCTTTTTCATTTGACGTCACACCCGGAAATTGCCCCAAAAAGATTATTTCCCCAATTACTTCGCTCAGGGGGACCACCTGTGCACTTAAGATGTGCATTTATCGTCGCCTGAAGTAAGAAAAAATTATTATTTTTAAATGTTTATTAATTTTATCCTTATAAGCATCAAAATTTTTGGGGTTCTTGCTCAGTTGCAGAGCTGGGCCCTTTAAATGTCCATACCCAAACCCCATAATTAGTAGGTTTAAATTTTGACCCGGGCAAAACTTCCACGGAAATCGCACCCCGGAATGTCCAGATTCATTTTTTAACATCCTTTAGGTATTGTTCCCGAGGGAAAGGAATCATTTTTGGGGTTTCCTCATTTATATTAATCCCTATTTCTTCCCGCCCCACCAAAAATTTGACTGGTTCAACTCATTTTCCCATAGAAAAACTTGTACTGGGTTGCCTTTCATGAGAAGACACCGTGACCGTTTTTCATACTTCCTCTAGTCATTTTTTCTAGGCGGGAGTCTGGCCCTATTTACCGGCCCCTACCATTTTTGAGGAGAGTTTACGCCGGGATGGGGTTTTGGGTTTATGGCCTTTATCCCGAATTATTAAAATCCAAAAACCGGGGAAAGGTTTTCCTCAGCTAGGCCTTTATTTTTTGCCATTGCTGCCCAAACCCTTTCACAGCAAATGTAGTTTCAGGGTTTTTAACATTATCATTATTGTCCCCCATTATTATAAAAAACACATACAAAATGCCATAACTGTGGTGCTTTCCCCTTTTGCCCTTGATAGCAAAATGTTTAATTTGGTTGGGAAAACCTTTACATTATGAATTTTCCCGACATCTGAAAAAATCTTTCAAATTTTTTCATTCTTTCCACTTTTTTATCCCATGGGAAATTTCGGGGGATTACAATTTTTTTGAAATGAGTACCCTGGGAGAAGAGGCAGTCTTCTTTTTCCCTTTCCTGGGCCCCCTTATTAACTTTGGGTTTTCACTTACGGAAAGGGACTTTTTTCCTCTTACCTTGATGTGAGGAACCCTATTTTCTGATTTTCCCGACTTGATAGTGCCTATTTTTTCCTTTAAATATGATTTTTTACCCTGGGATTATTTTTCCCTTTTGAGACTTTTACCCGATACTTCAATCATTTGTGTTATATCCTTTTGAAAAGTTTGGCTGGGCCGGTCTTTCAATTGAAAAAATTAAAATTTCCCGCCGAACCCAGTCTGATTTCCTCCAGACCGTACTCTGGAGGGGGTTTTTGGGAAAAAACCCCCCCTTTGCATTAATAGGCTGACCAAAATGCCCGGTTTTCACCCTTTAATTTATTTCAAAGCCTTACTTTTACAAGGACAGTTTTTTTTTCCAATTCGTAATGTTGATTTTAAATTAAAAAATCATTTCCCTTCCCCTCTGCCACAAATTTTCCAGCCCGATCTCTTTTCACAGTCTTTAAAAACCCCCAAATTTTTACCAATCAAATCTACCCCTCTAAAACATCTAAAAATAACTTTAAATTAAATTTAAAGGGTTTACGGTTCTTTGATTCACTAAATCAAAAGCCTTCATCACATGGCTTTTAATAGCCTGAATGATGCTTTTTATTTTCTCTAAAATTCACGGACTTGTCAGCCACATTAACTCCATTAGATTTCCCGTCATGGTTAGAGAATTATTTAATCAAAGATTATACCCAAATTAAGTAGGCCCTTATAAGAGTAATTCTTTCCTTTTCTCTTGTA